TCACTTTTACTGTTCTTTCTGCCTGGAAACTTGAGAACTTTCCTGGCATCCAAAAAAGCATCCTTTTTAGGTAAAAAGCGGTTTTAGTCCAGCTAGAAAACAGTGATAGTGAATTAGAATCACTTGCAGAATTGAGCGATAGTGATTCGTGGGGAAATTCCTCATCAGACACTGAAAGTAATGACTGCAACGATTCTGCGACTGAGCTCAGTGATGTGCGAACTGGGTGCTCTATTTCACATGTCAGTGTTTTTGATTTGATTACATTATTGAATTTTATTTCAGGTGCTTATATAGCGCCGCCAATTTATGCAGCGGTTTTACATATATATTGTACATTCACATCAGTCCCTAACCCTCAAGGGGCGTACAATCTAAGGTCCCTAACTCACATTCATACATACACATACTAGGGACAATTTAGACAGGATCCAATTAACCTACCAGCATGTCTTTGGAGTGTGGAAGGAAACCGGAATACCAGGAGGAAACCCACGCAGGCACAAGGAGAACATGCAAACTCCAGGCAGGTGGTGCCGTGGGTAGGATTCGAACCAACGACCCTGGTACTGCCAGGCGGAAGTGCTAACCATTTAGCCACTGTGCTGCCCCATTATGTATTATTATATTATTATTTTTTTTATAATTCTTTTATTATAATTTATGATTTCGTGTTTCAAACTTCATCATACCCAGGATGTTTAGTAGACTCTTGTTTGGACAGATTTAAGTGAGTTATTCCTAAGAATTGCAGGCCTACAATATAAAACAAATTTCCATGCAAAACAATGTACTGCTTTGACATTCAAAAATATTGACATAATCAGACCATCAGGGAGGTTAAATAAGTTCACCTATTAACAAAAAATAATAGTCACTTTTTTTGCAGGTAAAAAAAATGTGTATTTACTTTTTTGCTTTGGGAGCCTGTAAAGCATTGCACCAGTGATTAGCAAATTCCTGGTCTCATGCAGGACTCCTGCAGACCTGTCAGTATATCTGTGTGCTTGTACCTCGTACGGGTAAGCAGATACTCTCAGGAAGAATGAATGAACTACCACAGCGCTCAACAGTGCCATGGCAGTTCGTTGAGAACTACATGCTGACCGCCACAAAGGCTGTTGGTTTCTCCATTCATAGAATACTGTCAATGAGTGATGCAGCTGGGCTGGCGGAGCCCCACACAGCCACATTTAAAGAAACTAAAATTTTGACAGCTAGGGGTGGGTGAAAATTCCCCTCTAGTTGTCAAAATGGGGGAGCTGGGGCCAGTCATGTTGAGACTTCAGGGGGATTTGTAAGTTCAATAATATGTGCCATGCTCTGTACTGGGCAAAGTCAGAAAACATGAAAGTCACATTGAAGTCACAAGCATGCTGCAATGCAAAGTCGCACTGGAAGTCACACAACTTTGGGGTCATAGCAGTGTGAACCCCAAGCCTTCTGTAAAACTTTTATCCCAAAAGGAATAAAAACTCTGTAACTGCCTAGAAAGTGTTAAGTGGAGTTCAGCTTCAATTTGTTAGTCAAGTCCATCTAAATCTGCTAGTCTAACATTACCCAAACAATCCAGAGGTGACTGTCTTACTATTTCATCCAGAAAGGAGACACCCTAGTGCAGGATGTGTGTTACTGGCTGGATCACCAGATGAAATAAAGGGGGAAAAAAAAGAGCCCTAAAAAATAAAAACTATTGCAACCACCCAATCTAAGGATCGGTAATCTGCAATACATTACATTTTTCTTTCTTGGTTTAATACCAATTTAAAGTGGTTGCAAAGCTAATCTAGCCTATATGGATTTTCCATTTGCTATTTGTGTCAGTTTAAACAATCTGCATAATTTACAGAAAATATTTTCTTGCATATTCTTTTTTTTTTCATCCTGAAAGAGAAGGTCATGTGATCGCTTTCCTAGCTCAGCGCATCACAGACCTGTAGGTGGACGTGTCCACATCGATGGGCATATCAGTGTCACTTCCGGAAATGACGTTTGCCACTGAGCATCAGCATTTCCATGGTAAGCACATATCCGACTGCAAATGTCACTTCTGCAAATGATGTACATGTCCATCGATGTGGCTGGGAAAGCCACTGTCCATTCAGGGAGGAGGGATGGATGGGGTGTGGCTACACACTGACGACACAGGTCACAGGCAGGCTGTGTACTTGCACAGCCTGCCTGTATCTAAGAACTGGATGACTTGAGACACAAACTAACCATGCTGACACAGATCGGCTTACATGCTAGTGTGGTCAGGTTTTTAACCAAGAAGTGGGGAACTTGCAGGAGCCACCAGGTAATATAGAAAAAGTACAAGCACAAATGATCTATTTATATAAAAAGAAAATTCCATCTGTCTCTAAGGATTTTATGTTTAGAAACACGAGTGGGAGCAGATGAGCATATATAATTATGTACAAAATGCTGGAGCCCGACCCTAAATTTCCAATGCTTTATTGGTAAAAGTTTAGAGGTGGAGTTACTGTCTAATACCAATTAGATACTTGACGTTTGTAGTCGCGTCCTGGCAATTTTATGATGGGATAGACTTGGTGGGTTAATAGGAACCCAGCCTTTGAACCAACACTCCATGGGCCATACTGGCGATGAAGTAGAGCTTCATCACTGTTGTATTGTACAACATATGAAAATGTGCTTGAGAATAATAATTGAATTAATCAGAGTCTGACACTAGTCCAAATAACAGCATAGATTTGACTTGGATGTAGTAGCGCAGTGTGAAAGTTAACCACTAGATGTCACTCTGTCAGCACACAAAGTAAATGAGTTCTAGGGGATCCATTGTTTTTGTGAGCTGATTGGTTTCTTCCATCTTGTCACTTTCACACTTTCCCATCCTCTGAGTACTTTTATAGCTATCCAGATGTTTTCATTTAGTTCAGAATGTGCTTTCTGCTAAATGTGTCATAGATTAATTGCAACATTACATCGTTTGTGTTGTGGAAAAACATAGTAGTGTTACAGCTGCTCAGTTATCTTACTTTAGTAGGAAAAAAACCCACTGATTTGTGTAAATATTCACAGAATGTTCTAGAACACTTCTCATTCTGGCTGGCACTTCACTACAGCTGCAGGCCTGCAGTGACAGACATTGTCTGATGGGGACAAAGGGCAGATGAACTGTTGAGCCTGTCACTGTTACGTGTGGTCCCTTATGCTTGTGTTTGTAATTTCTTATGCATATTATTATTATTATTATTATACAGTATTTATAAAGCGCCAATGGTTCGCTCAGCGCTGTACATTACAAAGGGGGACAGAACATGTGACAGAACAATACCAATACAATGCAAAACATGAGGGGATTGAGGGCCCTGCTCTTTCCAGCTTCCAATCTTATACCTAAATAAGCTTTAAGGCATGGGTGTCCAACCTTTTGACTTTTCTGGGCCACATTAGTAAAAGAGGAATTTTCTTGGGCCGCATATAAAATACACTAACAATAAGAATAGAAGAATAGCTAATGAATAGAAAAAGTCAGTTAGATCACAAGTTAATGATCACTGATATAGATAATGTACCTATCTGATTAATAAAACCTATTTTTTTTTTCTTATTTAATTCTAAAACTAAATGAGGGCAACATAAAACTGGTACAATATTTGACACTGTTTTTGATAACGTAATGCAGCAGTATCTGGTTCGATGGGCATAGTAACAATTCTCAATGAATTCTCTTACATTTTTGGTTCTGATTTTGCCCTTCGTGTACTTCATCCTTCAAAGTAGTTGCTCACAAATAGAGGTGCTCCTGAAAACTGATGACATGAATAAGGCATGATTGTGAACAGTGGGATGTGTTTCTTTGGAAAGATAAAACATATAAAAGTCCAGTCAATAGACAATATTACATTTTTTCTTCAGACACATGTGTTCGCTAAGTGTGAACACCTTTTTAAAAAATCTAAATTTTTAAGTAAGTTTGCAATTTTGTATAGGCATTCATAGCTCTTTTGGGCTGCAGATTGGACACCCCTTTAAGGTGAGCTTGTACAGTTGCAAGAAAAAGTATGTGAACCCCTTGGGATTACGTGGAGTTTTGCATGAATTGGGCATAAAATGTGCTCTGAACGACATCTAAGTCACAACAATAGAAGAACACAGTCTGCTGAACATAATACTACACAAACATTAGATGTTGCCATGGTTTAATTGCACATAACATGAAACATTCACAGTAACAGGTTATCATTATTGGAAGTATTAGCAGCATTTACTTCCCATCTGCACTGTTCCCCAACACTCTAATCTGCTGCCAGGGAAAGCAACGTCTTTGCAAAGTTCCACTTTTTGAAAGCATGCAGATGACCCACTCCAATTCTACTTTTACTCCACTAGTTGACACTGCAATCTGTATAGATATGGGGGCAATCATTTTAGTTATTTAGGTGGAACCTGTTGAGGTTTCAAGTGGTGGGATGCCCTCAGCTCTCTTCTTGCCCACCTTGGAAATCCTGTCCTTTCCTGTCCTCCCAGTTGCATTACCTGTACCATCAAATTAGAGAACCAACAGGCATAATTGAATGCGACTATAGCTGCTACATTAGCTATGCAGAAATCTACTAGGAGTCCCTGAGAAATATAATAAACATAGGGGACTGAACTGTAGAATGTGCCAAGAACTGATATGGCTACATTTTCTGAGGATTGACAGATACTTATTTCTGTACCGGGAACAAGTATAATGATGGATTTCTCCTTTAAAGTAGTTCAAAGAAGCATGATTATGTATGCGGTGCACTGGCAGACAGCAACCAATCAGTAGGACATACATTCCTGTTACGCACTATGCAATGTTTTATTTATCACATCGCTCCTAAAATAAGCTGGCTAATGAGTGTTTGCAAGTATGTACATATGTAATCAAATGTATACTTTATCTTTATTTTCATGCAACTTTAATACATTTGGCCTAATTTTTGCATTTGTGAATGTAATTTATTATATATTTTAAAAAAGTTTTGTTTGCTTCTTTTACAGGTTTCATGCAAGAAAACCAACCAGGTAATTCCAATGTGTTATTAGTTAATGTTTGTGTGCTGTGTGTTTTTTTTTTTTTTTTCCTTTAAATGTTGATCTGTGATTTTATCTCTGGGATTTGATGCCATTATATGGAAAGTTGAATCTGTGTTGACACAAAAGCAGAAGGGTAAGTTCACCCTCATAGTTGAAAACTGAGCTCTCCCTAGCTTGTTTAGGTACCATTGCTCAAAAAAAAATGTTTTGATTTTGAATAAAAAAGAAATAGGAGGCTGACATTAATGACCCCTCCATATAAAAAAAAATCCTAGTTGCCTATCTGTCATTGTGATCCTCTAGCTTCAGTAATTTGAGCCACTAACCCAGAACATGTAGGCACAAATTCTTATATTTCCTTCTGTTTGGTACATACTTGGTCTGGATCAGTGACTCAGTGTAATGGCAGCCATTATTTATCATTGCTTTCCTTGTAAATATTATGCAAGTGTGTCTCTGAAATCACTCCAAATGCAAAAACGTTATCATATGGAACTTGCAGGTTCTGGCCTTGCGCACACAAGAGGAGGGGAGAACAGAACAGAACAAACAAAACATGTCATCCCCCTGACCTCAGTAAAGATGGCCATAGATGGATCAAATCTCGGCCGGTTCAGCAGGGACCTGCTGAGATTTTATCCATCTGTGGACATGCTAGTTGCATTGATGGCGATCCATCGACAGACTTCAGTAAACCAGCCTGTCGTTCAGTAAAGCCAGCCTGTCATGTGATTACTGTCGACGGCTGTAGTCACTAGCAGTGATCATTGTGTTCTACCGGTAGGAAAGGCTTCCCATCGGCAGAACACAATAGCACTGCGAGAGGCATTCCCCCATCAACACTGACTGTGTTCCATTTTTTTCTCCAGTAACCCATGAAAAATTGTTGGATTCCCCCATCAACACTGACTGTGTTGATGGGGGAATCCAGCAATTTTTCATGGGTTACGGGAGAAAAAATGGGATCATTTATGGCTTTCCTTACTCTCAGTGGACAATTTTTCAACTTAGAGATGAGAAATGAGCTCCTAAAGGAAACCTGCTCTCAGAATGAAGTCCTCAAAGTGTTGGATAGAGTGGTGAAGGTTTAGAAACCCTTTTAGGTTTTTATTGCTGCCTGCTGACTTTTTAGGGAGATTCGAAGGGAGCCATGTTGCAGTGACAACTGTCTAAGGGGGCTTTTTCCTCACTTTAGATAAACGTCACTTCTTGTTGTGCTTACAGGACATGAAGTGAAGGGAACTCTCCTCAGTGGTTGTCAAAACCCCCCCAAAACATCTAATGGGGTTTTAACCCTTCCCTATTCTACCCAAATGAAGTATAGTCTTTGAAAGTATTTATATGGCATTTCTATTGAGAAGTTTAAATGTTTCATCCTAGACAATGGCTGTTGGTAGGATTATACCTGCAGAAGGTTTTATTCATGTACATACGGTAAGCTAGTATATTAATACGGAGTGGGTTATTTTCAGGCAGGGGAGCATTTTGAGCAGTGACACATCCGCAGACAAGAAGCAGAAGTTTGAGCGAAGTGTCAGCTCACCCCATGACGTTTTATCGCATGACTTTGATCCTACAGGTAAGACCCCTCTTTTCACTACCATTTACTTTTAAAGCTATTATGCCTCTGTAACGACTGACAGTGTAATATGATAAAAGCATGTTTTAAATATCATTTCCATACTAGCCCTTGGAAAATCTAAAGTTACCTTTTATACTGTGTGCTGCAATATTTTAACATCTACCAGTAGATATACTGAACAATGGAAGCATGTATTAAAGGATGTCTTACAGGAAAGTGTCTGTGTCTCCCATAAAATCACTTAGATCCAAATTTAAAAGAAAATCCTGGTGATTATCAGATATTGTACCTGCTGTGCAGACTGTTTTTTAAAAAAAAATTTTTTTTTTTTTTTATTTTCTTCAAATCAGATGCTTTTTTTATTGAAGTTTTAGAATTTAGTACAGATACATCAAAAGGTAACACAGCAATACAGTCACAGTGGATCGATTTAAAAGTACAGAGCAAATATGGAAAAGGTCTGTTGTATAGCAGCCAGCAGCATAATGACATACAATGCAGCGTTACAGGAGTTGTCAGACACAAGATATAAGACCCAGTGACCCATAGTCATAAAATCAAGAACAAATGCAAGATAATCTCAACATAATCTAGTATGCTAACAATACAAAACTAATTTATACACCTTCTGGAGCACTGGAACTATATCCAGGCCTTAAAACTCGTCTTTCAGGTTCTTATCATAGAAGATAATTAATAAACAGCAGTACCACATGTAGTAGAAACAGAGCACTAGGGGTGTATAGTAGAGCATGCTGTGCAGGACTCCACTAGACTATTGTAGTAGTCTATGTAAAATAAAGGAAGTAGAGGGCCAGGCTTGGGGTAGCTAACCACATGTCCTAGATCTTTTCAAATTTTGAGAGGCATATTCTGTGCAAGAATACACATTTTTCTCTGGATAAGATATCATTTACTGGTTTCCTCCACTGAGCTAAGGTTGATGGGTGTGTGGAGACATCAATTTTTGAGCTATAAGCTCATGAGCCTGGAAAAGAACCTTAACAATAGGTATAACATTTTCACATAAAGTATCATCTTCTAACATACTCCAAAAGGCAAATGCCAAGGTCTTCCATCAGCGTTACCTAAAAAAACAGTTTATTGTTGTTGTAACACCTTTTCAGTAGCAATGGAGTTTTGGGCAAAACCATAACATGTGGATTAGATTAGTTGGGCCTCCCTTGCATTTGGGACAAAGTGGAGTATCCCTATGATGTCACAGTGGGTATAGAAAAGAATCACAATAAATTCAAATTCAGTGTCCAAAAAAACTGATACAAAAATCAATCAATACCCTATATTTTGACACGTTTAAAAGTCACACTTTCACCATTGAAAGTCCAAAATGAAATAATAAAATCCTCTTAGTGTCAGTGAATCTTCCCAAGTTTTTCTCAGTGGCACACACAGCCGTTTGACTTTGAACTGTGAACAGCTGTGATCCTTTTGATTAGCTCAGCTTGAAAAGAGCTTTCATGGAGCATTTCAGTCCTTGGTAGTGCAACTGAAGCAAACCATCAACTGTGGGTGGCAAAACACTGTCAAAAGCTGTCCAGGGTAAAGTTGTTAACAGGCACAAATCAGGAGATGGATAAAAAAAAAATTTTCAGAGCCTTTATCAGTGCCTAGAATTTAAAAGAACCTCTGATTCGGTATCTCAAATTCAGCATGAAGCTGAATCAAATGATTTGAGGATGGCATTATTGAATAGCTGGGACATAAACTGTAACCCTTTTAGTCTTCCACAGGTCAAACACTTCAAGCTCTTTAATTCTCCATAACTGGAGTTATTTCAAATAGGAGTATACTGTATAAAGTAAATCCATTGTTGCCTGATAGCTTTCATTCCCTGCCAGACTTTATCAGATAGTAGTGACTGACCGAACACCTCCCTGTTCGGTTCGCAGTCGACCATTCAAACCTAATGAAAGTTTGACCGCAAACTTTGTACCATGACAATTCACCAAGTGGTATTTTACCACATCAGGGTATGTGGTAACATACCGCACTGCATTTTTCCAGTAAAAAAACTACTAAAATTCCACGAGTTATTTTATTAAGTCATGCAGTTTTTTAGTAGTGAAAACATGCTTTAATGTTTGTCGTCTGTCAGCTGTTCTTCGCTGACAGCTGAATGTAAAACGAATTGCCAGCAATTAAAAACTGTGCAAAAAAAACAAAACGTTGTTGTGTTCCACCCCCCCACCTATACCAAGCCTTTCAGGTCTGGTATGGATTTGGAGGTGAACTCCCTCGCGAAAATTTAAAACGATAAAAAAAATGGCATGGGGTCCCCCCAAAACCCATACCAGACGCTTATCTAAGCATGCATCCCGACAGGTCAGGAAAGGGGGGGGGCCAACAAGCACCCACCACAACCATACCAGGCCACATGCCTTCAACATGGCAGGGGTGCTTTGGGGGCTCTGATTGGCCTTTTACCACATCACATGATCAGCTGTGTTCGTAGGACACAGTGATCACGGAGATCGCCGGGTGTGCGGGAAGGTGTATTCTGGGAGGACATCGTATGACTTCCTCTCAGAACTGGACAACCGCGCTCTAGCCTTCATTCGGTGGTTAAAGTGATTCTAAAAGTATAATTTTTTTTTTTTTTTTTTTTTTTAAACAAAGGAACATGCTTCTACTTATCTGCTGTGTGCAGTGGTTTTGCACAGAGCAGCCCAAATCCTCCTCTTTTCGGGGCTCTCCTGGCTCCTCCCTCCTGTTGGGTGCCCCCATAGCACCTGCTGCTCCGTGTGTCCATTCACACACGCAGCCGCAGCTCGGTCCTGCACTCTCTCTTCTCATTGGCTCACTTGCTGTCTCGTCCAATGAGAGGAGGGCGTCCAGGGATAGCAGAGACTCCAGTGCACATTGCTGGATCAAGAGGGGGCGTAGGGGAGTATTAGGGGGGGCTAGGGGGGGATACTGCACAGAGGTTTTTTTATGTTCATGCATAGAATGCATGAAGGTAAAAATCCTTCAGTCTTTACATTATTCTGCGCTGGTGGCAGCGTACTGTAAATCTAGACCCTTGTGTTCTGGGTGAGATTTGCCAGTGGGCTGATTGAAAAAAAAACAAAACAAATGGATTTACCTATCACAAGCAGGGTGCATGGAGGAATCCTCCTCATTGTACTATTGTATTCTGACAGTGGGGACTCCTACACTGTCAGAATACGCTGATCAGCGCTGCACCTTGTTGGCTGCTTCCCACTGATTGAATGAAAAATTTCCAACATTTCATATGATCAACTTCTCTGGAGCAGAAACGGCCATAGATGAATTGAAGTACGGTTGGTCCCTGCTCATCCGACCAATTTTTGATCCGTCTATGATTGGCTTAATATTCACTCATTAATGATAAGCATTACATTTGTTGATTGTAGTAATGTGCAGGGGACATATTGAAGCAAGACCTGGAGTATGGCAGTATATGCATAGGTTTGGATCTCCAGTGTGTTGTTGGCACAGGGCAGCTTCATATAGTTTTAAGCACTAACACATAATGCCTGATTACATACAAAAAAATAAAAATTGTCAAGTTTAGGGATTTAAACATATTTAGGCTTACTTACAGCATCACAAAAGCTACTGGTGCAGGTAATTGAATTCTTAGAGAAAATGTTTACTAATACTAAATTCTTAGTACCACTGCATACGTTTTAGCCCTTCATATCTGTAAAGTGACGATAAGTAACATAATGGATGGATGTGCTGTGCATTGCCAGTCCTTACTTGCAGCCCAATGCATCGTATATAGTGAAAGGCTCACACCTACTCTATAGCACACCACAACACACAGATGTAAATGCATATTGCATTTCTTGCTTTGCCAGGAATAATGCAGAAGTGTTTTTTTACACATTGCATGCACGCAGCCCATTTCACACATTTCCCCTCAATGAATGAAAATTACATGCGCGTGTTATGTTGTGAATAATTCCTAAGTGTTAAAAATTTTTGTGTAATTAAAGTGGAACTTTTAGTCAGAAATTTAGGGCCTGCTAGACAACTTCATGCTGGCCCCTTTTGCAGGTATAGCTATGTAAACTTTAAAAATTGCCTATACTGTTTAAAATCCAGTAATACATAGTCTCACCTTGCTCTACACATGCTCAGTGGCTCTCTGTTTTTTGGCACTGTTCCAAAAATGTAGAGGGCGATCTGCTTACAGCCTAAAGGTTTACTACTGTTCAGGGGCTCTGGGCTTCAGCAAAATGGCAACCTCCAGCAAGAAAAAAAAAAAAAAAATAAACCATGCTGGAGGCAATTTATAGCACTCACTAATTTTGGTAGCAGGATTATTAATGTGGAATGTGTTCCTTGATGTAGAGCATTATTTCTCATCAGTGTTATGGGTGAAGGTCCGCTTTAAGAAGGAACTTTAGCATTTCCCCCTCATTTGTAGCCAAGCAGTGTCATACAATTCCTGTTCTGTAGGCTCTGGATGAGCACTATGATAAAGTAAGATCTACATCTCTTCATTGTTCTGTTTTCCTGGTGTCTACAGCAGCAATGACACTCTCCCTGGTTTCTAAAGGAATGAAAATTTCAGCTCATCTAAAAGATTTTTGCTGCTGCATCATATTAAAATTCAGATGAATGAATAACTTACAGATCAGCATAACTAAATCACATTGTTTTGAATAAAAAGTATATACTGCTTATGACTTTCTATCTGACCTGTATTGAATACATGCCGCTTATCTAGCTGCTTGGTTTGGAAATCTCTGTTCTCCATTACAGAGCTTCTTTCACTATTATATGATCTATAGATTTATTTCTCTTAAACTCTTGCAGTGTGCAGTTTTCAGGGTTGGATTGAAGGGCATAAACCTACAAAAAGAGAATTGTGATTGTTGCTTTTAGGTTAATACAGTTTCTTTTCCTATAGTAATCTTCCAGGTTAGCAATTTGTGAGATTTTTGGTTCCTCTTCAGGGGGGAAAAAAATCTAAAATGGCTACAGCCTCCACTTGTAACACTTTA